AAAAAAACAAGTGGGCTCCCCCAAAGTCCACGGTATAGTTCGAACACTGATTACAAGTGACACAAGTTATGTAATCAGATTACTTTTTAAGTAACTATTGAAATAACGCATTACTTTTAAACGTACAAGACAATATCTAAGTTACTTTTTCAAATAAGTAATGCCAGTTACTTTGTTGTCCCATATACTGACTGACAGCCCTCCTGTCCGCATGTTGAGAGAAATCGGAAGTGCAGAGGCACTGTGTAAACATGAAGGTTATGGTTACTGTACTTCTAGACTAAATGTGAACATGCATTTCTCATCTCACTTGCACAAAAACAGATTCGGTATTCCTCAAAATAAATAAAAACAGTGAAATGCTAACTCAGAATATGATGCACATCTGCAATAATTAAAGATAAAAAGGAAAAATAATAATAAAAAAAAATCCTTTAAGTATTATTACCATTGTATTATCCAATGTCTTTGTTGCTGACTGCTGACCTTCGATGATGCAAATGAACCATACTAATAAGCAAAAATGACTTCAGAAAAACAATATTTGTTTCATTTTTTTTCTATTATTGGTGAAGAGTGTTGACCTTTCTTCTCCTGCATCCTATTCTTTATGCAATCCAAAATAGCAGCGCAGCTGAAAGGTTTGTTTGACGTGAATTTACATTTCCTGCTGCCCATGGCTTATTCATTTCACTTTAGGTGTAAAAGGGCTTTTACATTTGCTCGAAAAATTGAACTTTTTATATTAAAAACAAACAAGTAAGCTCAGCCCAGATGAGAAAAAGTAACACAAAATTAACATAACACATGACTTTCAATAAAAAGTATCTAAGTAACACAATACTGTAATGCATTACTTTTTTAAAGTAACTTTCCCCAACTCTCTTTATGTGTATATTACTGTGATAGATGGTCATTACTCTGTGTCACCAAAGTGTGTTTAGGGTGCCAACATAAAAAAGGGTTGTTTCTTAAAGGCACAGTGACAAAAATGACTGCACAATTGTAAGGGTCAGAGAGAGAGTGGAGAATGGATGTGGAAAGCTAAACTCAGATAAATGTAATGACCCCTTTAAATGCAATTCTAACATCCAGTGGGGCAGGGATGTGTTTAAGATGTAGTGTGTGTGTGTGTGTGTGTGTGTAATAGCTGCCTAAGATCCTTTGGCAGAAGTGTGTGTGTGTTGTGCTTGTCAGGGGAGCATCCAGTCGGCCAGCTCTTAATTAGAACTGGGAGTACCACACGTCTCCAGCAGAACTCGGAACAGTTTTAATCAGTCACTGACAAACCATGCAAAACTAACACTTTACACCTCCTCATAAATATCCCACGCAGAGTAAACAGCACTCCTCTCAAGAATTACTTCATTGTCAGCATAATATTCATCTCAAGTAAAGTGATATCACTGTTGAAAGATATGAAACCTGTACCCTATCAGCAATATCTATAATGTACTACAGTGGTGACTAGAACTACAGTGTTTCAAAGGCCTGTATTGTGTCACAACGCAATTCATAACACAAGTATGCACTGCATCTCAGCGTTGTTGCTTAGGGAAGCTAGGGCAAGCATTAGCACAAACTGTCATCTTCTACATTCAGTTTCCCTTTTCAGGTCAGCTAATGTGAAGCAGCAGTTTGAAGAGAAACTTGCTGAGCAAGTGAAAGTTAGTTAAACTGTCAACGGGTATAATAACCTGAATAACGCATTCAATGTAGTGACACAGAGATTTGAAGGCAACTCTATCACCCCCTTCAGCAGTGAAGTTTGTATCTGCCAGACCAATAAAACAAAGCACACTAAATCTGTGTTTGATGGGACTACACACTAGCAACTCATTGGGCAAGTCTGCATTTGTATTCTAAAAGTATATTTTGAGTATGCATTTTGTTTTTAGGAAACAGCTTTATTACAATTAAAGGGTTAGTTCACCCAAAAACGAAAATTCTGTCATTAATTACTCACCCTCATGTCGTTCCAAACCCGTAAGACCTTCGTTCATCTTCGGAACACAAATTAAGATATTAAGCTCAAATTAAGCTCAAAAAGTATTCTTGTAGCTTCGCAAAACTGAAGTTGAGCCACTGATGTCACATGGACTGTTTTACCGATGTCCTTGCTACATTTCTGGACCTGGAAACATTACAGTTGCGTTGCTATCTATGCAGGCTCTGAGAGCTCTCACATTTCATCAAAAATATCTTAATTTGTGTTCCAAAGATGAACGAAGGTCTTACAGGTTTGGAACAACATGAGGGTGAGTAATTAATGACACAATTTTCATTTTGGGGTGAACTAACCCTTTAAAGACTCTTGCATTCATGCATAGTGCATATTGTGTAGTATATACTACATACTGTATACTTTTAAATTGTATATGAAACAGTACACAGTCTGCAACAATACACATTTTAAACACAGTATGGTACAATATTGTCACATAACATCCAGCAGTGTACAATTTGCATTCTGTCAAAGTATGGACTGCGTTTGATGAAGAACTTTTTGATCATCAATTTAATGCTTAATAAAATATGTATCAGTGTAGTATGAAAACAAACAGTATATACTATTGTACATTTCCATGTTATCATTGTCATGTGACCTACGGTACGATGCCAAGTTAGCTGGTCATTTCTGTAAATATTAATTTATTACTCGTGTGTATATATATATATATATATATATATATATATATATATATATATTCAT